CTGTGGAGATGCAGTCTGACGTGCTGTCAACATGACTACACATCAAAGCCAACAGGAGACGAGGTTTTTTTCTTCTTCTTGTCGTCATCTACTGAAGAAGTAGATACACAACTTAAACAATTACATAAACCAGCAGGAAAAAAAATAACTTTCTGTTCTCATTTGTCCGAACCCCCTTCTTATCAACGTTTGGTAAGAACGATTGCTCTTGTAAACGTATATCTCTTTGTGATATATCCGAACACAGATCCTTACCATAGTGTTGAGGATTCACAGTGATGTGTGCCCTTGTGTTAAAGCTTTTCCCAGGCTGGATTCGATGTCTGTTGAAGTCATTATGTCTGGTTTAGTGTGATGTCCCCCGTGTTCCGCTCCTGAGAGTCAGTATCAACACCTCCACTGTTTATTTGGACCGCCACTGAACCCGGGGTCACTCAACTCCTATCACCACTAATCCCAGTGATATGGTCTACACACACACTCACACACACACACACACACACACACACACACACACACACACACACACACACACACACACACACAAATAGGCACACATGCATATATAAATATACACCAGGGCCCTTGGCGGGAGGGGGAAGCAGCGAGGTGGAGTGTTACCTCTGTGAGCGGTGAGAGCCAATGAGAACCAGCTGCTGCAGCTCTGGGTTTTCCTCCATAGTGTGTTTATAAAGTCAGCAGGGGGGACACTAGGTGAAACACAGTGTTATTTTTACTGATTGTGGATTAAACCCCCGGGTTGTGTGTGGTTTAACATATTTTTACATTTCTCTGAATAGCAGAGTATATCAGGAAGTTTCTGATGCAAATATCTGAGTCTGTTTTCTCTTAATCAGTATTCAGTAAAAACCTCTTTTTGTTCTTAAAGTGCCTCTTGTTCCCAGATGTTACGAGCACTGCAGAGCTCTCACGATTGATGTACAGTGTCAGAGAGAAACTGAATCAGAGGATTTGTGATCCGCTGAGCAGCAGCAAAAACAAAACGACATTGCTTCCGCCTCTCGTGGCTCAGGGATAATTGAAAACAAACAGCCTTGTGTCGCAGTGCTGCTGCAGACTAAATACAAATTTTTGCTGCATTCAAAAGAATGCTAAGAGTGTTCCAAATTATTCTTTCATACAATTATCCCCCAACATGTGGCCTATCTTTAGCCACTTTTAAAAGATATCATGATGTGGTTTTGTCCCTTCAAAAAGGTGCTTCATGTCAGAGAGGATTATTTGGATGCTTTCATCCCACAGTACGACCACTGTTTACAGTATGAGCTCATAGTATCTCATTGGCATGCTGTTTTGGCATCATCCACTGCTGTGAGACCTTATTGTGCAGATTTTGTTTCTCATAGAAGCTGATCTGAGCCTTTCCAAAGTAAGATAAAGGCGATTGCATAAAAGTCAGCAGAAATTTGGACTGAACAGGAACAGTGCAAAATGTCATACAATTAAATAAAGCCAAGGTTGTGTCTTATAATGCTTTAATTTGACCATTCAAAACCTAAATATTTACATCAATATAAAATAAGCAAATCCTTCCTCAAATGTTGTTTTGGTTGAGGGCTGCTACAACAATGTTTTAAAAATCAAGGGAAATTCCACACTATTGGAAATAACTGGAGAGTGAAATTAGAAGAATGATATGACTCTCTCGTCTGTTTATTTCAATTAGGAGAGACAAGTGAAAGGCATAAAGATAACTATCTATTTTCCTGAGATTATGAGATAATTAATTATTGTCAGAGAGTCCTTGGTGCTTGAACTCTTGAGGGGAATAGGAGGATTGAAGGAAGCCTGCACTGAGCAGCAGAAAAAATCCCCTTGTTGAGTCCAGACACTGGTGGTGGAGGTGTTGGTTGATGATGTGTCTGAGGCTGCAGAGATGATGAAGCTGATGGACTTGCAAAGACTGGGTAGTGATGGGGAGATGGAGGGTGGCATAAAACAAAGGGATAAATGACGTGGAGAGAAAGCCATATTTGAAAGAAAAAAAAATACAGCAGCAATATGATAACACTGAGGGAGGTGAGCAGTGCTATTGGATAGATCAAAATGTAAGTGAGCATGCATGAGTGAGTGAATGCAACACAGTGAGAACTGCACAATAGAAGCAGGATGCAGATTAAAGTATTCCTGACTGAACTTTTGCTAAAGCTCATTTAAATGTAAGTACACAACCAGCGGCCATTAGGCCATTAGATCATGTACAATAGTAACAAAATTCACCAAAGCGGTATTTCACACACAGAATACAGCTTGCGAGAAGTCCTCTTCCTTCCCTGCCTTCGTTGACATATTGGATATAAATAATTGTGAATCAAACATATATTGAGGAACCATTAGAAGAATATGTAATAAACCGCCCTGCACATGTACTTGCGTATGTGTTCCCTCATGTATGAGAGCTGAACTAAAAGAGGACCCACTCTTAAAAACTACTGCCTCAAACTGTCGCTTGTTTTCACAAAATCCAAGAGGTATCTGTAAGATATTACCCATGTACATGCAGCCGGCACTAAATACACCCTGAGTATACACTAAAACATCCTCCATTTCCTCAGCAGCTTGTAGAATTAAGCTGCGTGAGTGATAGGAAGAGGCAAAGCCGCAGCCAAATGATCGTCCCCTCAGTGACAGCTCTGGAGAATTACAGTGATGCACCTGAATCTCAGGTCTCATTGTAATCTATGAGTGTGTGTCCTGGAGATGAATGCTGATTGTATTGTGCTGTGCTGCCCTCCGCAGTGAGCGCTAAACGATGTGATGATGACACACAGCGTAAATCTGCTTCGCCTGTTACACCGGTGGGTTGCAAGTGTGTGGCTTTGTGTGTATGTGTGTGTCTTTTTCCTCTTTGACATGCAGAAGGGAGTGCAGTAGTAATTAATGACTGGCTGCTAAACAGCGCTATGCGATCATACAAGGTAATGAGACTGCTTTGGTGTCACAGGCCTGGAGTTGACTATATAGGTATAATAGTTTATTTTTGACATACTGTATTGATTTTTTGTACTATTGTTCCATTAAAAACAGATTTAGTCGGTCAGTAGTGTTGGCATCAGCTTTGTTGTTTCATGCCTGTGTGTAGCTGTAGATTTACGTTAAAGAGTTACTGAGATTTATGCATCATTTTAAAGCAGCATGATAATATAGCAGCACTTACTGGAGCTTTAAAAATAAAAAAGAGTCATTGTCTAAGACACAGCAATGTTTACGACTGTCTCAGTCTCGGCAGTCGGCAACGACAAGAACCCAGAGAGGTTTTCATTAAAAAAACAACTTACAGCCTGTGTGTCAGGGAGAGAGCTTTTACTTTCACTGGTTTGTGCTTTACAATATACTCTCTGTGATCGTTTCTGTCAAGGCATCAATCACTTTAAATGCTCGTCCACTCTCAAGTGAATTAATGAAAATGCTTTGTGATTGTAGTTCTTTCCTGCAGCACAGTATTCCAACACATTATCTGTTTACTTTCCCACGTGGTAATCGAAACTATGTGAGTCAGGCTGGATGTTCTGGAAAGAGTGGTTAATGTATTCGTCTATAACATCAAACTCACACTGAAGAGCTTTAAGATGTGCCTATTGTGTGCTTCATTAAATGTAAATACTTTTAAAATGGCAGTTTTAATTAATCTGAATGTTTAAAATAGCAAAGAGATACTTAAGTTAGTGATATTTCACACCAGAACCCTTCAGTTTGAAAGAAGACAAACAAAGTTACGTGTGGAATATAACCAGCTTATCTTGTTTAGTTCCCGTCAGTCTGGGTGAGAAACTTGCACACAGACACTTTCAACATCATCACAGAGGACAGAAAATCAGTCACATCTGTTCCTTACAGAAGCATCGAATCAATACAGTGAAATGACTGCTCTGTCTAGGTGATGATTTACCTTATTCCCCACAGGACCCTAGCTTCATGAGCTGAGAGCTCGTCTCTGGGCTTCTGTTATACTCTCATGCAGCTGATCAGCGAAAGCAGCAGACTGCTGATATCACTTTAAAATGATAAACAAGTTAATCAAATCTACATATCATCAGCACAATGCACCATGGGAGTAAGGAGTCGTGTTCTGTCTCTCTTGCTGTCTGTCTTCTCGTTGACTCTGCCGCTGTCTTATTAATGACGTCTCTTTTCCTTTAAAAGAAAACTTTGTTGTTTGCATTTTTCTTCAGTCTTTTCTCTTGATTTTCCGTGTTGCCTTAAAAAAAAACAGTCATCTTCAAGCTCACCCATCAGCATCTCAATCTTTCAATTTTCTGCCAAGGTGAAAAGCACTTAAACTTATCGCTCCATCTGGTTATTACATGCCACCTCCAGTTCCTCCCTTTCCCCTCCCCCCTGTCCCTCTCTCCTCCTCTCCATCTGTGTATATGTGCTATTGACAACCTTTATGTGCGTCAAACTCCTCCTGCCAGCGCCCTCTATCTCCTGCGCCAACACTGTTCTATGGTCACACTTTTTAAATGCAAATTCTGAGAGATCTGTGATTTCTTAAGATAAATATATCAATTTTGAGCCTCTGGCGTCACATCAGAAAACACCACTTTGCCCTGTTTGCAATTTGACATTGGAGGCTTGAGGAATGTTGTCTTCAGAACTCTTTCTTTTACACTTGAACTACAATTTAAAGTAAACGAAGGGTAAAGGTCTTTTTTTTAAAGACAAACGAACCTTTACGGGTTAAAGGAGTATGAGGTGATAGTAAACTAGACCTAGGCTAGCAGCTTTATCAGCTCAGAGTGATTTTATTCTTATTTTAATATTATAATTGTTGAAATGTTAGAAGACAGAAAAGTCTGTTGAGTTTAAACTTCTGTTGAACTCCCTTCATGAACAATGTTTACTGTGTCTGTCTGTGGTGTTCAAGCTGCTTTCATATGCAATATATGTCACTTGTAAGAAATGAATCAGAATTGCAACATTTTGTCATTTTCCTCCCTCTCTCTCTCTCTCTCTCTCTCTCTCTCTCTCTGTCACAGATCACGTTCTTCATGCTGCTCTCTGCTGTGTGTGTGATGTTAAACCTGGCGGGCTCTATCCTCTCCTGCCAAAACGCTCAACTGGTCAACTCTCTGGAAGACTGTCAGCTGGTGAGACCAACTGGACCTCAACCTATGCACTTTAAAGTTGTATTTATTACCTGTTTATATAAAGCAAAGAAAAGAAGAGGACTATAGGAACATGTACATTTTTGAAGCTTGAGTAACTTTCCCAGAAGAAGAAGAAAAGATGCAGAGCAGTATCAGAATCAGAAGTTTAACATGACTGATGCAATTATGTGTCCAAACTCACACCCCTTCTACTTACTAATACTTATAGACTATATATTAGGCAGGGATGTAGTCTCCAGGGCTGAATGTGGAAGACCTTTAAACTTTCATGATTTTACAACTAACAGAGAGCAACTTTACTGTTTGAAAAAACAAACTTGGACTGTATAACAGTCCTTGAGAAGTTTCATCTCACTTGATGTAGAACCTCTCTGAAACATTTTGAGTTAAAGGACTCAATCGCCAGTTCAGCGCTTCAATTTAATGTTGATTATGTGAAGCATAGTACAACAACTCAAAGTAAAAGTGACTAAGGGAGGCTTTATAGCCAGACTACCTCAAGATTGACAAGTTACCCCAATGGTTGGAAGTTGGCGAATGCAAAAAAGCAAAACTCATAAACTCCAACAATGAACATTCACAAATCAATGGGTGGTGTCACATTGGCAGCATCCACTTCTTAATACAGTCTGTCGTACTTTCTCACTGTTTTTTTCATAACCCCAATTTAGCTTTCAAGATAAAAAATCTCAATGACCCATGTTGACTTAAAGAGCAGCTCTTCCTGAGAAGTGAGAGAGCTCCCCACTAAGCAACATCTGTTTTTCGCAGGATGAAAACACGCCTGTGTTAAAGTGGTTTCAAGTAATTTCCAACTGATGGATGCTTTTTCAAAACATTCTGGCATTTTAAAAGTGGTGTTAAGAAAAACCAGCACACTTTGAAAAAAAAAGAGTGTATTGGGCTTTTTCTCTTTGCAGCCGCTGATCCAGGTTTGTGTGTCAAACTTACACACAAACCTCAGTCTTTACATTTTCATCATGCTTAGCGGATTTTTTTAAGCTGAATTTCTTGTTACCAGGGGTTCCTATCATAGTCAGAAGAACTCCCTCGTGATTCATCCAGCAACAAACCCACTAGCCCCACCACTTCTATATGAGAAGCAGCTTTTCAGCTTTCAAATATAGGACCAGCTGAGTAACACCATCCTCTCCGCTTTCGTCCCCCGAGATCGTCCCTCGTTCGTGACTGAATCGCTAACGTTCCTCATCATGTCTCCCCAATGTAATTAACCCATACTTGTTGGGTTCATGTCCTGCTTTCTCTCAATCTGGGACACATAGTGGAGGTATGCTCTACCTCCATCTCTCCCTGGAGCTCCATATATCTCAGTAGCTCTTTCTTTGTTGTACTCTTTTGATCAGACATGTTTAACTGCCTTTCTCATGCACAGGGTAGTATTTTATTCTTAAACTCATATTTCTATAATTTATCTTTACGACTATTTTCAGTGTCCCTTCAAAATAAAGTTCATGTCAGGAGTAAAGGTATCATCCACCTTGTGAGATTAAAGGACAAAAAAACAGAACACCAAGCTCGGGTCTGATTTGTGCGTGTGTCTGTGTGTGTTGTTTGTGTGTGTGTGTGTGTGTGTGTTTTTGTGTATGTGTGTGTCTGTGTGTGTGTGTGTGTGTGTGTGTGTGTGTGTGTGTGTGTCTGTGTCTGTGTCTGTGTATGTGTGTGTCTGTGTGTGTGTGTGTGTGTATGTGTGTGTGTGTGTGTGTGTGTGTGTATGTGTGTGTCTGTGTGTGTGTGTGTGTGTGTGTGTGTGTGTGTGTGTGTGTGTCTGTGTCTGTGTCTGTGTATGTGTGTGTCTGTGTGTGTGTGTGTGTGTCTGTGTGTGTGTGTGTGTGTGTGTGTGTGTGTGTGTGTGTGTGTGTGTGTGTGTGTCTGTGTCTGTGTGTGTGTGTGTGTGTGTGTGTGTGTGTGTCTGTGTGTGTCTGTGTGTGTCTGTGTGTGTGTGTGTGTGTATGTGTGTGTCTGTGTGTGTGTGTGTGTGTCTGTGTCTGTGTCTGTGTATGTGTGTGTCTGTGTGTGTGTGTGTGTGTCTGTGTGTGTGTGTGTGTGTGTGTGTGTGTGTGTGTGTGTGTGTGTGTGTGTCTGTGTCTGTGTGTGTGTGTGTGTGTGTGTGTGTGTCTGTGTGTGTGTGTGTGTGTGTGTGTGTGTGTGTGTGTGTGTGTGTGTGTCTGTGTCTGTGTGTGTGTGTGTGTGTGTGTGTGTGTGTGTTTCTGTGTATGTGGCGTGCATGCATGAGTGTGGATGTGTGTTCCCCCCTCCTCCCCCTCAGCTGAAGTTTGACAGCGATGGAGTGTGTGTGTGCTGCGAGCTTCAGCAGCAGAGTTCAAGCTGTAACAACCTGGGAGAGACGCTGAAGCTGAACCCACTGAGGGACTGCAACACCATCCGCCTCCGTCTCAAGGTGGGTGTGTGCGTGCTTGTGTCTGCATGTGTGCTAATTGTAAGCGCCATGAAGTTTTAAGTTAAACTGGGTTTACACTGCAGATAAATAAGATGCATTTGTAAAATCCAGAGTTTAGAAGTGTGCAATTCTTGCAACAATATGTTTAGCAGTGGTAATGAAATGTATTTTCACATGTGCTGACGGATGCTTGTTTGGTTATGCGTTTACCAATTTGAATAACAGCAACATTTCATTGCTGTACAAAATGTTCTGTTGCACCTACGAAGAATGGTCGATGATTCATTACAGCCATGTTGCATTCTGCCTTCATTGCTGGCTTCAAACACTCTCTGTGATTGACACCACTGCAAGTCACAGATTGAAATCCATTTGAGTGGCTAGCCTGATGCCCTGGTCCATGAGGCGGATTTGTGTTTTTCATTTAAATCATTTTATAACTAATTGGTGGAGTGATGTTAAATTTGGTTCATACATTCATCTACTTCTCAGTGATTATTCAATTGAATTATTAGGTCAGTTTATTTTTTTTCATTTAAGCAATATTATTATCTGCTAAGTGCTTATTTAGCTAATTATAGCTTAAAATCTAAACTAAGATAGTAACCAGGTAAAAGTTATAGCTGCTTAACATCAACACATCTGCATTATTATTGTGAGCATGTTGGCATTCTGAAAATATCATGTAGTTTAAAGCACTTAAAACATCCTCACAAAGCTGCTAGCATGGCTACACATTTTTACTCTTATCAGAAGCAAACCATTAATTAGAGTAACACTCAGATTTCGTTCAAAAATAATCCTCATTAAATTGCTAAAATCATTAAGTCCAAACGTAAGTATCCAAAAGGACTCTCTCAGTGTGAAAGCAGTCTGACATTAAAGTGTTGCGTCTCAGATTAATTGGGCAGGAAGTGCAGAATGGTAACAGCATTTGTCTTCCCCATGAGGCAGGGCTCTTAGTATGCAGTATGGATGTAGCCGGGGCTAGCTGTAGTTTGCAGTGCATGATCTCTGTAGATTATCTTGACTTGAGTGTCTGCAGGAATGATATACTGTACGTGCTACTGTGCTTTTATTGGATAACAGCGATCATATCCATTCATTTTATGTCCCAGATTGATTATAAAACATTGATAACCAAATAAAAGAGTACATAGGATGAAACATGCTGATGAAAAGAGGAAAGATCAGTCACATTTGTCATTTTGATCATGGCTCATTAAAAGAGAAATCGGAATTGGTGCCATAAACCTTTATTAAGTGCCAAAGCGGTGGAACGTGTTGAATTATGTGTTAGACTAAGCTGTCATATCCGATCCCCAGAGTCCTCGGCCATTTCGGAGGCTGTCATTGGTCCTAATGAACTCACCATGCAGCTGCTATATATTTCCTCTGTCACTAAATGACACAACATATGGAGACTAATGAAATATCACAGCAAACAAACTTTGGCGTTAGGCTACCTTTCAACCCACACATATCTGAGCAAGCGTTTTTCTGTTTGAAAGTTCTGTTTATACAAATATCAACCATCTTCACAAACCATGCTGCTGCTGATGTGTGCCATTCACTTTCTCTTTGCAGACACTTTTAATTTGCATCATGTTCTTTTATATATACTGCCTGAGGCTGTAAATAATCAGTGGGAGGGAGCATCTAGATATTTCCTGCGTGTAAGGGGACAAATGTGTAACCTTGCTGTTTAACTCACTAACCTGATTGGCTAAAGGCCAAGTATCTTGTCAGGGTGAAATATCTGCATGTAAAGCTGTGTCTACGAATGTGCTGCCATTTATTTGCCTGGAAGGATTTATGTTATCATTATTTACATTTTGGTCACAAGGGATATTACTGAAATACACTTTTTCACTTCTGCACACTATTCCTGCAACAAAAAATAAACACGGATAAAGCCATCATAAATATTTCTTATGAAACTTGATGCTTGCACTTCAAGTTTCTGAGCTCTCTTTTGTTTGGATGCTACATTCATTAAAATACACCTCTAGATCACACTACAGGAAGCAGTTGTATTCAGGTTGTTTTCTGTGTTTTTCTGCACAGTTATGTCAGTTTTATCTCAGGAAAGAGCTTACACTGTCAGAGCTGCACAGCAGGAGAGATAAATGATCGACATCGAACATAATTCAGTCAGCCAACTCGCATGAAATGTATTTTTAATGTGAAAACAGTGAAGAGAGTTCAGGTCTCATCACTGTCTGCAGGGATCAAAGCTCTTACAACCTGCCATGCTGTAATTTGACTGTGCATGTTTCTTGAAGGCTGTGTTATTCCATATACTGTTTCTTTGTTTTTTCACAAATAAGAAGCTGTGCTGCTGATGGATTTCCGTAAACTCCTCAAATCCACATACTGTCAACAGCATTATTTTTCAGAGTCGTTGCAGTAAGAGATGTAAATATGTCCTGCTAGTGTCTTATGTAAGTCTCTCTGCATGTTATTTTCATCAGACGATTACTGCCCTTTTAGGTTCTGCTTGGTTTGTCAGCAACATTGTAATATGTTTGTAACATGCAACAAGTCACATGTTTTACTTTGTGTTTCGGGTTAAGGTTGGAAGTCGCTTGGTAGTCTGTATTTGACGTGAGGTGATCATCAGTCTAGCTTTGTTGTGAGGTCACATGGGCTGTCAGGGTATGCTTGTATGACTGATTGAGCTATATCCGTGAGTTAAAAAGTTGCATTACAAAGCTACAAAATCAGCTCACTGCTGTCATTAGGGGTTACAAATCCGTAAGGGGCTTTGCAAACAGCCTGGAAATGTTTCCTTATACTGCTGGAGAGCTTCTTGAGAGAAGTGTTTGGTTTTCTGTTACATGCTGAAAAAGGCTCCTTGAGGACGGCAGAGTGAGTGGAGATCAATGCTGTGACCTTCACTGAGACCATCAGGGACATGTAAGATGGAGATGATCTGGGTGCTGCCCCTTTGTGAGTCTGAGCTTTATGGAGCAACACATGGAGGCATGTGTGTAGTTTTTATTCTGTTCAGGAATTTCTCCATTTGGAAGGTGATACTTAATTATCAACGATGCAAGAAACCAATTAAGCCCCCTGTAAGACACAGCATGCTACACAATCTGCCACCACAAGGTTTTTGTCAGGCTAGGCAGCAGGAGAGTTCAGTTAGTAATAGTTGTCTTTAGATGTAGAATGAAATAACACAGAAGTATTGTTTCATATCAAAGGGTCCCACTTATAACATTCATTATATAGGTAGGTTTTTTATTTGTTTCCCCATCTTTAAAGTCATAATTTCTGAGATCTTAACTTTTTTTCTCTTAGACAGAATCTGTGTAGCAGTAAGGTTTGGCTTTTGACCAGACACTAGCTCAATAGATAAGACAGTAATAATGGTTATGTTGTGAAATTGTCTGGTGGTTCATTCATAGAAGCAGATTGTATTTCTCTCACAACATTACCTCATGAGTTGTCTTGATGGTGTCAAATCTCTACAAATTGATAATTAAAAATGTGATTAAATGAGTCCAAACTGATAGCTTCCTGATCATCAACACAAAGAAATCACAACTCTTCACAAACATGCAATAAATAATCGCCCATAATTATCTTTCCTCTGGAAACTAACAACAAATATAACACAATGAAAGTTATATTTAATGATATTTGTAAAAACAAAGTAAAAAGGTTCATTCAGACTTTTTGACACACAGATTTAAACGTCAAACACAATGACTATAGTCATTAAAAGTGTGTGTTGCTTGGAGTTAATGAGTTGGAGTGAAGAGCCTATAAGTGGTATGAACCCAAATTGGCTTTAAAGTCATAAATCTGCCTCTGTTTCTATGTAAATTTCGAAAAAAATCAAAACAATCTAACAATGTTAGAGACATTTTCATCAAACCAAAGAAGCTAAAATCGTCTTTCACCATTTCTGTTTAATGACAGTTTGATATTCCATTTTCAAAATGTCAGACCAAATGACTGTGCACCGTCCACGAGTCTCCAAAGACTTTCCTCCTACACAAAACCTGTTCCAAAGCTTTTAGCTTCCAAAGCAACATGTATTAGTCGGATTTTATGGTTGGCACTGCACAACTTCAACTTCAAGGCTTCCAACTCACACAGACTTGATCTTTGGCAACTAGTTAGTGGATATCAAACATGTTGCAGGCCTGGCAGCTCTGAACATCCCAGATGCCAACATGATCCATTTAATATCACAAACTTCAAAGAGAGAGGAAGTGAGTAATGGGATGTGGTTGGCAGAAGTTGTTGCTTGCTAGCCCGAAACTCTTTTTTAAAAAAGTCAAGGTACCCTGCACCCGATAACAAACTACAGACAACAAACCCTGGTAGAGCTCAGCAGGGGAGACGACTGTCGTCCTCTCTGCAGATTATCCACAGCCTGATTCAGGCGGGGTTTTAGTGTCAAAGGTAATTATGTGCCTCTTGAACCCGGTGAATAATCTGCGCAGCAGGCTGGAAATCACTTTGTGTTGAATTTTGGGAGTTTCATTCATGTATCTGTGTCCAGAAAACAAGAAAGAGCACTGCTGCAGCTTTGGTTCAATTCACCCCTGTTTTACGGTAAATATTTACAATAAAACATCTTTAGTGAAAGGCTATGCCACACATTCACCCTCATTTCCTGCCTTCTCCCTTCCGTTTCATCTTTTGACCGTGGTCAAATTAAAGATAATAACAATCCTTATTATCACTATCAAAGTGATTTCTTGTACCAGGACCTTTGTAATCTTTCTACTGACTATATTCCATGATTGCATTGATCTGAGCCGCCGTCAGACCACCTGGACCTGTTTTATTTGAGAATCATATTTAGTTTTTCAGTCGTACATATTTCTATCTTGGGCTCTTCTGTCTTCTTCCTTCGTGTGCTCAACAGCTTCAATTTCCACAGCCAATTTCCAGGAGGCTGCCATTAATGTTCATGCCTCCTGCTGCAGGAAATGTGCTCATGTGTACAAGTTATTATCGATTCATTTCTTCGGAAATAGAAAACTTGATTTTAAAACTGGAGCCTCAACACAAACACCATAATGTGACGTTAGACACTGACAGTAGTCTTCTCTCTGTTTCGGGGTGCTAGTATTTCACATGCAAGTATTTTTATTTTTGCTGACAGATTCAATACAGATTATGCTGCTCACAGCTTTGCCAGAGTGTGAATGTGAATATGTTAAACCTTGGATGTTTAAGAGATTATCGTGTATTGAATTTGTTTGCCAGTCTTGCATGCGCAGATATATATTTTCCTGCATTTAATCTTTTTTTTAATGTATTTATGTATAAAAACGTTTTTCTCTTCCTCTCTCTTTTTTTGCACCATTGTAATTTCTCTCTTTTTTTTCACACCACTCCTCCAATTGTTTTGCCCCTCTAACCGTGTCCTCCTCTCCCCCTCCTCTCCTTTAGGAGCTGCTGTTCAGCGTGTGTGCCCTTAACGTCATCTCCACCATTGTGTGTGCTCTGGCCACAGCCATGTGCTGTATGCAGATGGTCTCCACTGATGTGCTGCAGATGGTGAGTGTGTGCAGATGGCAACAATAGCTGACTTTATTTTCTTTACATTGACCACCCTGCTGTTAAAAAAAATAATACATTCTTAGTCTGAAGATCCTTATCATCAGTTTGGGTAAACACAAGCAGCACAGGAATGACGTGCCAACCTTTATCCATTTTAAGATAGTGGAGAAAAATGTCTGAGCTTTTGTTGAATCATCCTTTTTTGGTTTCAACAATATAATGCAAACACATACTGTGAAGGTCAATAGCCACATAACCCTATTCAGTTTCCTGCTGCATCTCAAATTTAAGACAGATTTTGGAAACAACAGCTTAGCCTCTCACTGGATTTTTTTTCCTCATGTACAATGTGCTCAGTATGACCCTCTTTTTTCATTTAATGTGGAACAATGAAACTATTACCAACAGCTAAATGCTTTCAGTCATGAGGGAAATTAGCATGGCCAAGCTCCCTTTGTGTTTCACACCAGCAGTAGTTATTTCCTGCTTCCATAAACACATCAACAACAGGAAATGTAGAGCAACACTGCAAACGTGACACCAAATATAAACTAGCTTTTCAGGAATATCTAATGCAGGAACCTTTTACACATTTTATGACCTGTGCTGTAAATTCTGCTCATGCTGAAATGCGTCAGGATGTTAAAACAGATGCTCTTAGCTGGATGTGATGCTTGGTCTGATAAAAGGTTGAAGTGGCAGGAAATCATTGGTGATCTCAGCTGTATAGGGGATAGTAAAATGAATTAAGTTTAACTAAAATTTACATTAGTGAACTACACATGTGAGTCACAAGTCCTCAAAGATTCATATATAAATGAGAGCTGGCCAAATAAAACCAGGATGTATGTCTCGATTCTCATTAGTTTTTCTTTAAAGGTCACATATTATACTCCTTTCAACAAGTTTAAATAGGTCTAATGTCTGTGAAGATTTTGCCAGAAATTCACTCCGATCCTGTTTTTTATCATGTCTATAGACCCCTCTATTTCAGCCCTGCTCAGAACAGGCTGTTTCTGTGTCTGTAGCTTTAAATGCAAGTAAGCCGTGTTCGCCACGCTTGGGTGGCTTGGGCTTTCTTTCACCATGTCCTATTGTAGATGGTGGAAAGGCAGACTCAGAGGGAAGAACAAACACCTAGCTGTGGGAGTGTCACCCACCTGGAGGATGGGTTACTGCCCTTTGTGATGTCACAATGGTTCATCTCAGTTCAGACCTTTAAATATATAATATGAAAACAAGTGTATGAACAGTGACTGCGACCTGAATTAACTTGTTTAATCCCTGGTTAAGGAGCAGAGGAGTTATTTATCTTTCATATGTGTGACTAGTGAACAAAAGACACATAGATGACAACAAAACAAAAACTAATTCATCTGAAGCTTTTTTTTTTCTTAACAGTAATTAGAAATAGGACTGTGACTTCATTTAAATGTTAACATTAGGACGATATTCACACTGGTCCCTACCATTAACTTTACATATTTAAAGCTGTGTGTACACATCCAAGTCAACTCAGGTCTTATCTGTAAACTGCTCTAAGTGCATTTTTGATTTAATACATTCATGATTAATTCATTATAGTGATTCACTTTTTATACTCTCTTATGGCAAGTAATATGCATTATTTTTTTTATCATCCATTCAATTTGTTTGTTTATAATTAAACTGTTCTTACCCCCTCATGAATAAATGTAAATATAAAACTTCCTGATGAACAGAAACTACAAAACCAACATGCAGATCTTCAGATAAAAACTTCTATGAAATGAAGCCAATGAAAGTGGAGACAGTTAACTGTTGATTCACAGAGAGATTAGGCAAAACAAGCTTACTGTATTTGTAGATCTCCCGTTATGAAGCGCTTTACAAAAGATAGAAGAGTATAAAGAAAAGATCCATTTCAGAACCACAGAGCAATATAGAATACCATTTAAAGTTAGAAAAAAAAAAGACAAGAAATATGATTAAGCAGAATCAATCAATAGAATAATGTAAAGGTGAAAGCCACTGTCTCGCTGTCTCATAGAGCTTTAAATTACCAACACAACAGATGTGGATAATAACAATAACTGCCTCAAATCACAGAGGAGACGTGCTGTAAAAATACACACGCGCACAGTCATGTCTCCCTCGATAACTTTCACTCTTAAATAATGAATAAATAATTCAGTACTTTGTGTACTTAAGATCTGTAAGGGTTGTTTTTATGCTGTGTTTCAGTTTATGCCGCACCGATCGCGAGCCCTCAATGCGGACTGTATGACCCCCCATGGAACCATCCTCCACCAAACACTGGACTTTGATGAGTTTATTCCTCCCATTCCTCCTCCACCGTACTACCCCCCAGAGTACACCTGCACCCCCTCAATGGACGGACAGAGGTGAGACACACAATACTGATCGTCAGAACTGGAACTTTGTGTTCCCAGTGCAGTCATCTCTGGTGGCTAAGTGTCTTCTGGGATATGTGGATAAATTCAGTTAAAACACAATAATATATGTTTTCCTTATTTAGCTAAGAAGTATAGTCCTAAGTGTTGGCCAGATTATAATAATACACACAATATAACTTGTAAACTCTTGACATTGTATCATTTACTTTACTTTATGGGTTATGAGTCAGTTTTCTAATTTTTATTACAGACCAAATACAAAACAACACAATTAGCTAATTTATTCATTTGTAGAATCTAACACAATAATGATCCAAATCACGAGTGGCGTCAAATCAACGTGCAAAGACAAACACCTTTAACAAACCAGAAATCATAACATTTCTTATATTGAGTCCAGCAGAAACTGACATAGACTGAGATAATTCATGGTGAAACGGAGTATAACAGATCTCCTTTCATGTTCCATATTGATCATTTTGTATCTTTATTATATTTGTAATATTTGTATGGCTGTCCGTTGTTTGTCTGGACCTCTGATAATAGTGCGGTTTCCTGTCTTGGCCAGGACACTCTTGAAAAAGAGTGTTAAATAAAAATAAAATAAAATAGGTCAGCGCTCCCAGGAGGACATACACTAAACACACTAAACAAGTAGCTAGAATCATTTGGAAGTAGCTGAAAAGCAGAAAAACTTGAAGATCTCTTTGAAGGTATTGCACCGTAAGTGAACTGCTTTAACTTCCTGTTACATGGAGATATACTGATGTCAAATGCAAAATTCCAATCCAAAAACAAATCATATCCACAAGAAAAAGCAGAGTGTGTATCTGTATCCATCTGAGGTTGACCATCAAATGTTTTATTATCATCTCGCCACAGCCCATTCAGCAGCTGTGACATCCCCGATCCTCAGCTGGTCCGAGAGGTCACACACCCCTCCCTCATCACAGCCTCCATTTTGCCCATCTTGCAGGAGAGAGTGCTGTTGATGTAGCTATTTGGCAGCCACATGTGTTTCTCAATTATGCCATAAATATCAACAAGGCATATGAAGCATTTATGGTGTCCCTGCCCGAGGCCAGGGATGTGTCATGACATCATGATGCCACTGATGATTGGTGGAGCTCTCAGGCTGTATTTCATGCCCGCCCACTTTAGAGGAGAATAGGGTTGTAATTAAAAGATATGAGTGCATGCATGGCTGCTTGTTCTTAATTGACACCAAATGAAACGGTGGAGGTGCTCATAGAATTGTACACTAAACCAGTATATTAACTGTTTTTTAGGGAAAAGAGGAGAATTTCATCCTTTCATTTGTAAAGGTTTTATTAATAGGATAGATAATATAGGATTAATAGGATGTATTCATACCCTTTGATCCAGTTTCCTAAACTCTCCCATTTGGGACTTGTTCAGTCTGCTCTTTACACTCTTTTTATTCCAGTTATTAATATGGTTTTCTTATTGTTTGGGTTGAACATCTGCTGTTTTCCCCCTGACAGAGGCCTGCACCTAGACTTTCCCCATTCTCCCTTCAGTGCCATCTATGGGGTTCCCATCAACAGCCCCGGAACTCTGTACCCAACCGACCTGCCTCCTCCGTATGAGTCTGTCGTGGGACAGACTCCTGCCAGCCAGGTGAGAACAATCGGGTGGCTCTAATAAACAACAACAGAGTCCTTAAAAACAACGCTGTCCCCACAGTCCTCCTAGCAGCGTAACACTACCAAAAGCACAAGACTACAGCTATGTTAAATAGAAGCTAACATAATGGACAGCTAAGGCTTTTGGGAATGTCGTTAGTTTTGTTAATATGTGGTCATAAACCAAAGTAGTGGTGACATATGATAGTATAGCTTTAATAAAGGTACTTTATTAAATCTCCATGTTTCAGTATAAAAGTTAACCAACCCAACATATTTGTCAGACGCTCTTCTTTTTCTCCAAGTGTTGGCATTATTTTACTTTTAATAGAGGTACTTCTAATAAGTTTATCTTGTGTCTTTTTTTGAAATGTTGCCCGCAAATATTTCAGGCAAAAATAACATCATCTGCTGTTTTTGACTTATTCAGGGGTTCTCCCAGGACTGTCAAGTTGAACTGTACAGAGATTTCTATTGTGGTCCTCAAATAGAAATCAGCTGAAGGTTTTTTTCACCTGCGATAGCATAGCAGCGGTTGCTGTCAATACATACTGGAAGAGGGAAGTGATAGATTGATTGTGTGAGGAAAACAAATCTTTGGACATAAGAGACCCAGTTGATGATTTAAGGCCAGATATGTAAAGCTTTCTGATCACATATTGCCTTATACTGAACCTTTGCCAGTTTGTTTTTCTAATTTAAGCTTCTTATACAGCCAAACATGATAGTCCTCAATCCTCTGCTCACCAGCCTTTCAATTGAGACATTTCTGTTAGTATGCAGTAGTATAAGAGCTCCCTCCACAGGTCAAACTGTGCTGTTGCAGGTTCAGCACCTCACCTTTTTTCTAGCATGGACAGATACAACTTCTCAACCTATTTTGTTGCATTTAATCACAGCTTTTACATTGTCCATGTCCCCTGATGGTTTCCTCTTTATAGGTCACCACCAGCAACGAGCAGCAGGCCACTGAATCCAGTCTATGTGAGAGAAACACCATGGCAGGACTGAGCACTCAGGGTAAACACAGCCGTATCTCTGCAGAGGACTGTTGCATTTCTTTTTCTACTAGTTGTCATCCTGATGATCATTTTGTCTCCTTTTGTCAGCTTCGGTGGACAGTGCCTCACTGATGGTGTCAGAGGTGGCTGATCAGGACCAGACCTGCTCCTCAGAGGACTTGTGCTCCCTGGAGGTCCAGGGTTCTGACTCCTCTCCTTATGACACACACCACACGACCAACATCAATGGAAGCTGCCCCAGCTTGGAACTTTGCACACGTGGTACCTCACGCTGCCATCGTAGCTTACCCAACACCGACGCTCGCCCAAGTGACACAGGATACAGCGAGTCCTCACACACCCAGGATTCTCTGGAGCGCTCCCCAGACTGGTCCTCAGAAAACTACAGCAACCTGGAGGACTCTACAGAGAACACACATCCATGTGAGGACCTCAGGGCTTCGATGCACATATGTGACGAGCTTGCGTCAGCCAAACATTTACCAGAGGAGCCACCTAAAGCGTCCACACACTCCCTCATTAAAGCACGCATGATGAGCCGCAAGCTCACTCTCCCTGTCACTCTCCCCCCACCTCCTCAGCCCTGCTCCCCCACCTCTGTAGCCTCCTCTGGGGGAACTTCAGCCATCAGCCCTATGGCGCCTTCTCCCTCCCCTTCCCCTCCGAGCAGGCTGCGCGGCCCCAGGCTGTGCTTCAGTGTTTGGTCACCCTCTTCTACATCACAACCTCCCTCTACCTCAGCTCAAAGTGGCTTCTCGCCCTCGGAGAAGCCGCGGGGGCTCCGGGCAGCCAGGAGGTACCGAAAACTGGCACGCATTGTCCGCTCCACCAGCGACCCCATCTCCTGCTCCTCTACGACAGGACGTGAGTGCAACACAAGTGTAAATATTACTGTTACTCGAGTGATACGCTTGTTAGAGTTCAAACAGTTATCCAACTGATACATCATTCATCTGTTCCCTATGAATACAATATTGAGCACATTTGTATTTCTGACATTAGAATTACTAAATGCATCAAACAAGAAAATATTCAGCAGATTCATTGGTAATGAAATGAATCATCAGTAGCAGCATTGAGCTGTGGTGGATGACTAACCAGGAACATTTGAGGCTTTTTGTTGCTCAACACAAACTTTCTTGTCTCCCTCTACAGGAGACATCTTAAGCTGTGCTTCTGCAAATAACCCTCCTGCAGAAGAGTCAACTCATGCTTCACCAGAGCAAGGTAATGACACAGAAATAATATACATGTAATGTAAGGAAATGTGCTTCTTACCATTATTCACTTCCTATTTGGCAATATATTATTATATTTATAAGAGACAATAAGAGCTCAAGGACAAGCTGCATCTGGCAGAAAAGAGAAGATTTATTCTAAAAACTTTTTTATTTGATTTTTATTTTTCCATAAACTATAGAATTAAATATTTATTTAATTAAAAGCTATTTTGAAGCCAAATAATTTGTTTAAAACCAAATCCAGCCAATTTGATTATTTAAGATATTACATTGTCACAAAACTGCACGCAAAGAACTCCTCTGCATATTTTACTGGAGGCATTTTTACATATGCACTCCTGAGAATATCTAGATCGTTTCATGAGTACTGCTCTGGAGATTCTTCTGACCTTGCTGTTCACATAGGCGCATCACAGCGGGAGACTATCCCTTTCAGAGCAGTGTTTCCCCTACCATAATATTAGGGGGGCGGCCCGCCTTTATATCAATGCTATGTCTAGTCCAATGGAATGACAACATCCACAAAAGAGTGGGGAACAACATTGGTGAACAGAAAACGTAATGCAGCCTGTTAATTACATTCACAGAGATCATAGTGGCCGCGTATATATACAGTCTATGCACCATGCAGCAGTCATACAGCATATAAACGTAACTCCCCCCTCCTATTGGCCCGAGGTGAATTCTCAGGAGCATGTCCTGCTGCATTCTCACATGAGCTCACTCAGACCTGCTGCGGAAAAAATACTAGGGGTCTGGAAGGAGAAACTCCGAGTGAAAAAATGTGGCTGTTTGCGTTCACATATACAGCTCCTCCTGGAAATATCCTGGGTTTTTCAGGAGATTTCTGCAAGTGTGAAAGTCCTAATAGTGGGTTTTATATGAATTGTTTTCACATGATGTATTTTATTTGATAGATTTTAACAAATCTTCTCTCTTTCGTCTTCAGAGCCAACAAATGTTTCAACAGACATAGTTGCAGGTAAACCCAGTCACATATCTGTCAGGAAGCAGCAAAAAGAGGGCAGGAAAGTTGACATCCACCTTAAACCGAGAGCCCTGCACACACACTCCTCCCACGAACGCCCACACTCCCTGGCTGATCTCAAGATGTACAAAGACACCAAAATCCTGGTGGCAAAGTTCCTGGAGCATTCCAGCTGCAGTCTACCTCCTGAAGTCCAGCAGGTCGTCAACAACATCAAGTGTGTCATCAAGTCAGATGAGAAACACATGGAGGAGGCCATTTTTAGTGCCAATGTCATAGATCAGGTAACAGAATTGTTGTGAAGTTCAACTGAAAGGCAGCAGAGGTTTTATTTCTGGTTTTAATTATTAGCCCTAGCATTAAAGTAAAGCTCATCATAGACCCAAACACATACCAGTAAGAAATGTCATGTCTGAGAAGCATACCTGCAGCTAGCAGCTAGCATGTCAACATGGTTGTTCCACAATTATAAGCATGCTGATGTTCAGTGAGCTGAGCTGGTCTGCATGTTAATGACCTGGTTTTTAAGTGACCTAAGTTTCTCTGATAAAGAATACTATTCACAGAACAGCTATGTTGGGGCTATGCCAGGAAACAAGTTAGCACGGCAGCCTTGAAATGGTTTACATAGTCATCAAAGAAAGTGCAGCTTTCAAACGATGCACAGCATTAGTTATACACACAGCAGTTGTGTACACAACCATGCGTTTAAGAAAACACCTCTTGCACAGCACGGGGCCTGCGGGTGATCGATTTCTAAAAGGTTTAAAAATATATATATATATTTGATGCATTATACTCAATTAATGCTTTTCTACCCAAATGGACGAAGCACATTACAAGATAGGCAGAGGGCTGCCATTCAGGAGTAAATTAACCAAATGAATCCTGCAGAAGTTTGTACAGAAATGAATAGATGGGAACCAAACTGACAACCATTCAAATAGTCACCCACCTGCTCTACTTCCTGGCCACAGCTATGCCTGTGTGTTGCTGATTCACATGTTGTATAATAAAACCTAATTCATTCATTTGAGTTTTACTTAACAGTGTTACTGACCCTTTTTATAACATAAAAAACAAACAGATAAGTAATCAATATCACGCCATAATTCTTTGCTAATTTCCTGGTGCACAGGTGATGACTCAGGGCATCAGTGGCAGTCCCAGGAAGCGGGGTCACGAGGATCTTCACCTTCAAAGCTGTGGTGCTTTGAGTTCGTCCCCTTCCATGCGCCGTCCAAAACACCTCCAACAAACAAACAGCGGCTCCGCCAACCTCCCGGACTCCCCCTCTTCTGAACAGAGCCTTGAGTGCAGAGAAACCATTCTCTGACCACTCTCCCTACTAGGACTTGGATCAAAGCTCTGAGGGCATTTCACCATGCGGGTGCTGCAGCCAGGCTGTGCAGCAGATGTCTGTAGAGTAATTAATAACTCGCAAAGCATTGAAAGATATCTGTTTTTCTAAATGTGACTGCAGCACAGGCAACCTGAAATGATCTCAAACTGTATCTCCTAGTGCCCTGTGAGACTGTGCCAAGTCATCAGCAGAAATGGTAGCAAACTCAGACTGAGCCTGTCGGTGTCTGTAGTGGCTTCTTTCTCATCACAAAAACAAAAGAATGTTTCTCCCTCAGGGGATCTTTTCTACTCAGTTTCATCTCTTCAACAAAAAAAAGAAACAAATACACAGCTGATCTGTCACTGAGAGACAACGGAGATTGTGTTATCAGTATTCCCCTTGTCCTCATAAGAAGCAGAAAGAAATATGTTTGTATTAAACTGTTATCTGACCAAACTGGGCATTACAAGCCATTGTTTGCAGACTTTGTGGCGCTCGGTTGGTGAATATTTTGTGGTGCCGATGGTTCAAGAACTTCACAGATGTGGATTATTTAACTTACCTCATTGTGTTACAATTCTTATCAGTGTTACAATAAAACATGAGTTTGTATGTTGTGGTTGATGTTCTTATTCCATCAATGTTGCTGCGTCTTGTATGTCAACTGCCTCAGAGGACAGCGTCATGAACAGCTGATCACTTCAACCAAGGCTGACCAAAATATGACAAACACTGGATATACAATTGCGTAGCCATAGTAACTTTAAATTTGTGCTTTTTTAGTTCACAACTATTTCATTATTTTCTCCATACCAGGGCTGCATTTAAGTTATTGTTTGTGATTGATCCATGCAGAACTAAAATAAAAAAAAACTTTCATAGGCTGCTTGATTCCCTGTAAATAAGTCAAATCCGCTTTAAGATAGTTATTAGGCCAGTTTGTCTTCATGATGCATTCAACCAAGCATTGGTTCTCACCACCTGGATTTCAATTTAGTCTAAGCACAGAATCAAAGCTTAAGATTGCTAACGATAATTTAGGAAGAAGTGTTAAAATAACTATTTTAGGAAGACTTAACTCATTGCCCGTTTGCAAAAATACATACCAATGCCATTAGATTGTATAAGAACAGACATCATGTGGGCCAGCTTTCATTCTTTATTTTTTTTATTTCAAAATCTTTCAGTTTCATCTTCATTAGATGGTTAACATGACAGGGAGTTTAGTTAGGAGATAAAGGTATGGTATGTACAGAAGGTGTAATATATTTAGTGGAAGTAAATGATCTATACATTCGTGTGATTTTATTTTCAACACTCGCACACTTTTTTTTTTTTTTTTTTTTTACGGAGCCGTACTTTATTACCTAATTATGAATGAATAATTAAATCATGTCCTTATTTTTAAGTACATCTGTAAAATGTTCTTCCATTCAGATATGTTTCCTGTCTCTGGTTACTTTTACCAAAACATTAGACCTCATGTCTTTAAACATGTTTATTGCCTTCAGCGTGGGTGGTGGATTTTCAATTCTTGTTTTAACACGTAGTTGTGGTAATCACACCTACAGACTACGAATAGCTGCTTGACGTGCGTATGCCAAGCATAGATTGTAAATATTATTAATATTATGCCAAGCTTTCTTTGTACTCATTTGTATTTTTTTTTTGTGCTTTTATTTTGAAATGTGTTTGAGACTCGGTGACAGAGAGCGGAAGTGTCACGGATTGACGAACAATAGCTTCACAAAACGCAGAATTCATGTTTTGGGAGGTAGTGAATTGTGTAGATTGACACAAAGCAAAGGGTCATTTGTGCTTTATTTTATTTTTTATTTGTTTAAGTTATATCACCAGGATTCCGTCCTCCTTCGCAAGAAGAAACAATATATATATATTTTTGTTTGTTATTTAACAGCTGCCAGGTGTCGCATCTGAACGACGCTAGCTGGTGTGAATCTGTTAGCAGAGCAGCGTTAATGTTCACGTCGGGATCCAAAATCATCAGTGGTCGTGTTCAACGATAATGTGATTCAGTGAGCTCCAGTCGTGAGTGTATGCGATCTACCTGGGCTTGTCGGAAAACCCTTGAATGAGCTGAAGGCTAACGTGGTTGCGTGACTTGTATCTTGCACCTCCTCGCTGCCCCTGTAGCTGTCCACGTCTCATCTCCTGTGTTAACCAGCTGAGCTAGGCCACGTCCCTGCGGGCGTATTTCATCCAACCTACCGCACTGACATTGGACGAGTCTCAGAGACGATGCCTTGTGTGCGGAAGGAGGAAGGACAGTAAAGATCAGAAGAAACGTGGGGAAAAGTCTGATCATTCATGACTGTCAGCGTGAGTAGTGTAGTGTTTGCCTTTCTGCACGGTTGCCGCATATTCTCGGCATGTCACGTAGACGGATGTGTTGTGCAGCGGGAGAAGACTTCCACTGAGCTCTGTAGGTTGCGGTAACAGCCTGAGGTGACTGACATTTTTGCATTAGAAAATGATTGGGTTTGGTGCAAACCGACGGGGAGGCCGCCTGCCGTCCTTCATCCTCATCTTCTTGATGGTCGTCATCGCCATACTGTCTTTCAATTACTGGACGGTGTCCAACAGGCACGGTCGCCTGCTCGATGAGCTGGCGGAGGTGCAGACGCAGGTGAAGCGCACGGACGCGGCGCGCAGCCGGCTGGAGAAGCGCAACTCGGAGCTGATGGTGCAGGTGGACACTCACAGAAAGCAGATCGACCAGAAGGATGGAGATTACAGCGTCCTGGAGGGCAAGATACAGGCCAGGGAGGGCCTCATCAAAAAGTGTACTGATGAAAAGGTACAGTCGCAATTTCGGATCCAAGCCCAACTCTGGTGTAATAAAGTTGAATCTCTCTTTAATTACTAAGCAAGTACCAGCACTCAGGGAGAAGTGGTCACAGGGTACACGTTGCACTACAAGCAGAGATGGCTAACCAGTCTCTGTTAAACTATATTGAGGTGTTAGTGGGGTTTTTTTACACTCACTTCCCTCTATTATTTGGGTGTCTATATTTCTGCTATGGTTAGGAAATGCTCTCATACAACATTCATTGTTCCCTGAGAGGAAATAGTTATTGGGATCCCATGACAAGACATGTTGTGTACCTCACAAAGCGTGTTAGGTCAGTTACCCTACCCTACCATACCATACCGTACCTTAGTGCAGTTAAATGATTTTAATAGCTTTTAATCGCTCCACCCAGCCACATGTTAGATGGAGCAAAGCCAACGTAATTGTTTCTCGATTCATTCAACTCGTCACAACTCGTAGCTCTCTCAAGAGTTTTAATGTAATGTTCACTTCTTGTCATTCAAAAGTACATGCTTCTTTTTGTCTCTGTAACTCAGAGGGACATGTTTTATATTCAAGGGAAGAAATACTTTTGGTTGATTTGTTTTGAACTCTGCAGTAATAAACCAAGAGGAGATTTATCATTTTAGATTCCACACGATGCTGATTATGTGGTAGACTTAACAATGAGTTCAGTTTTCCTCTGGCCTTTGGCTTTAAATCAAATCAACCCAAATAATAATTAATCACAATTTCAAAGGTATGGTCATACATCAAAGAAGATAACAAATGTAAACGTTCTAACGCTGTATTGATGCCATGTCGATTTATTTTATTAGCAAACTTTTTCATTTGAGTTGGGCTTTTATGTATTCACTGACTGATGGTGTCCTGTTGTCTGTGGGCTCCAAAAGGCGACTCCCACCTCTTGTCTGTTGCAGCGGAGCAGCCAGTTCAGTGAGTTGTGTGTCCAGCTGCCCTGAGAGACATTTGGACAACAGATGGGAAGGAGGTTCTCCTGTCATTTGCATCTAGTCTTTCATGGCTGTTGATCATTGACTGGCACACATTGGTTTAGCTTATATGTGAATCCTAATGACTGCAACGTCCGTAGGACTGCATTAGGACACATTTTAACCCACAAGTGTGGGACGGAAACAAAAACAACAAACAAAGAGCACACTCGACAGTAAACACAGTTAAAGGTTCATGACCTCAACAAGACTAGAAAGAAACAAAAAAGTATGCACACAAATGTCCTTTAGGTTTAGGTGGGACGGAAACAAAACATGACTTACTGCTTGTCTGCAAGTTTCCAGATATATGTTGTGGGAGAAAGAATAAGCAGGTTTGAACACAAGAACTGAACATCTATTTGTATAAAAATGATTATAGATGATTTCATCAATAAGAGTCGAGCTCTCCGCCTAATGGGGATGCATTCCAAATGACTTCCAACTTGGAAACTTTTCTCCTGCTGATCATCACACACTGTTACTTTCTCAAAATCTCTTTACTGTAGCCAAATCAGATCTTAGCAAAACAATGGCCCTGGTACAGTTAGCTCTTTGTTAAGTTGCCTGTAAAGCTGGCACGGTCTGAAAATGACACAGTTTACATTTGAATTCTTAACGTGTGTGCATCATTTTATCACATAGAAATCCGTCTTGGTGGCTCAGTAGTTTGTAAAACATTTTATACTACCATCTATAGCTTGAGCATTTCCTTGTTGTTGAGGTGTGAATGTTGGAAGTGTTTAGAGTATGACTTTTTAGAAGTGACGTCTGTATTTGGCTCCCTGCTTCCCTTATCAGTAAAGACGTGTTGATAAGCAGAAGTTACACTCCTTTCTTTATTCAACAGCCCAACCCTCGATCAACAGACACATCCTACTTGTTGTAAAGGGCCTGCAATGCAGAGAAAATGGTGACATTTGAGTTTTAACTGGCTTCCACACAGTACAGTAAATTTGGCTTTGAAGAGCAGCAATTAATCATGGCAGTTTTTAGTTCTTCACGCAGTCTGTAAACTGGGTTTGTGTCCAGCTGGTTTAAGTAGTTTGAAGGGGTGACAGGATGAAATCATCAGTCTTAACACAGTGAGCATTTGATTCTGAATTTCCATGCCACCCTTTCCTCACCGCCTCCTTTCTCGGTTTATTATACCTCATTGAGGAATGCACACATTCACAATAGATTAGAAGGGTCAACTTTTTAGGGAAAGGAGTAAAAAGAGTATAAAGATCTTTGTCGCTGTCATGAACAAGGCTCAATCCGCCACTTTCTCTGTTATTTCAGGATTCTGTTCGTCCTTGAAGTTCCACCAGAAATCCATGAATCCATGTTTATCTGTGTCTTGACAGAAAAGCAATTGTAAAATGTAAAAAAAAAAAAAGCTGCTAGCTTAGTTGAACCTTTTTGATACTTTGCTGTAGGTTGCGTCATTAAAAGTGTGGACAACTTCAAAGCTTTGTGAAGGACAAACTTTGTTTTAAAATTCTTTGAACTGAAGTCCAAGGTTCCTTTCCCTCTTCCTCCATCCTTACCTCACTTGCCTGCTCCCTCTTCCCCCCTCACAGGTGTTTGCATACAACTGAGAGTTTGATTAAAACTCACAGCAAAGAGCAGCCAGCAGTTTCATTGGATAATATGACAGAGATCATCAGTGTGAGCTGCAGGTAGAGATTCAGGGTTTACATCAGTCCTGCTTATGAGGAGCTCTCTCATTGGATTGTGTTCCAGTGTAAATCTAAATTGATTGAGATCTTTTCTTTTCTATAAACCATACCTATAATTTTGCTGAACAGGGTCAGCAACAACGCCTGCAGAAATGTCTTAATACGTCACTCCAGTTTTGACAAGGCAGGAACTTATTGCTGTGAAGCAGTTACTTAATTGCCTTGTTACACAACAGCAAGACAAACCTGTTCTGTGGGGTGGGGTGGGGGGGGGGACTTTCTGCTAATAAGAAAACTTTGTTTCACAGTTTAGTCAAATATGGCTCCATTGAGGGGGGGGGGGACTTTCTGCTAATAAGAAAACCTTGTTTCACAGTTTAGTCAAATATGGCTCCATTGAGCAACTTTTAATAGACTGAACAAACTGGTTTTAGGGGTAGACTAGTCGAGTGGCATGTAGCTCTCCCTCAGGTGATTGGATCATCTTTAACTTTTTAATTGTTCTCTCTCTGTACAGATGAAGCTTCAGGGCGAAGCCACAGCCCAGATGACAGAAATCCAGAGGCTAAAAGGTAGGACACCATCCTTGTTTTACCACCAGGGGGAGCTATTAAACACACTGCCCTAATATCACAGTGGTTATTACTTAGACAGATAAGACATAGACCTTTCCTTAATAGATGTATTTGTGTGCATATTTGTGTGTGTGTGTGTGTGTAACAGAGCAGCTAACAGACCTGAAGCAGGAGTTCATGAAACAGGAAGAGCAGCTGAGAGAAGTGAAGAAAAACAGCACTACCTTGGAAAGAAAACTGGAGTATGAGAGGTTGGTCAAATCTTTACTTCTTCCTGTTGGGCTCCATTTGGGGTGATTATCTCTTGCTTTTTTATGATCATTAAAAGTTAGTGTTTAAAAATAAAATGTTTTATCATATCCAGGCAGCATTAGGGCATCGGTTAACCTATGTCTTTTTTTTCTGCGTATAAAACATGTAATCTCATTAAAAATAATTTATACTGAATGTTTTTTTTAAGAATAGATTTATACCTGGCTCACTGATCAGGTTTTCACGTTTACATTTTTGCCTGTTTGCACAGATCAGTTTTATAGTACACAGACAAAATGATGAAGGATCACAGGGTTGACATTTACAATGAATATCTGTGAACTAGTTTACAGTGTGGACGTCAGATTGCACAACTGAAGGACGAGTATGAAGAAACGAAGAAGGCAATGGAGGTGGAGGCAACAAAGCTTAGACAGGTATGTATCTACGTATAACAACCTCAACAAACATCCCTTGCATGTGTCTTTCTGTAACTGTGCTCTCTTGTACACATTGACTTCATGGAGCACTGCAGCATTAAGCATCGCAGGAATGTCTGATAGTAGCAGCCTAATTCAGTGAATTCCCCTCCTTCTATTCCTGTTACAGCTCTCCTCATCAGTAAGCAGACATTCTCCTACTCTCCAATCTTCCTGTGCTCATTCTTTCTTTCGCTTTTGACAAATTTACAGGGTGCAATAGACCGCCACAAGGGCGCAGGAGCAAGTAGACATGAAGATGGAGCACTAGGTGTGGACATGGAGGGAGAACGTCATACTGTGGCCAATCACCGACATGAGAGTCAAGATTTGAAAGGTACAATTTGTGGGACCTTGCCAACCAAAGAAAACTCACTCTTGGCTTTTCTTTGTTATAATTCTGTTTGATTACATGCTTAGCTTTTGGCTGTACTCAGTTTCATGTGTTTGCTGCCCCTGCTGATTAAATGCTGTTAGAGAGAGTTCAATTCACTGTAATTTTAGTTTTGTAAATCCATCCATTTCCTCAATCTCATCTCCTCTGCTCTGTTACAGATGAGATGGGTAAGCCTGGCAGCGATGCTGGCATGCCTGGTATTGAAGACAGTGAGGTGGGAAAAGTCGATGATGTGCAGTTTGGTATGCAATTATGTTCAACTTTCTAGAACTGTTTTTTTGGTTTACAAATCCCATGAGTTTATTAGTATGAAGATTGTGCATAACACATGTATATATTGGACTCATTCCTGAAGCTTTTAATGCAGAAAAGAGTCATTTAAAACATAGAAGATGAGCCGCATGCTATTTTATGGATCAATAAGATTTAAAATATGGACTCATAAAACTTTGCTGCCACTATTTTGAACATGCAACTTGTAAAGGGGTGACACAATTCTACTTTGCTGATACAAACACATCAGAAAGAAGGAAATTGTTTTACACTGAAACCAAAACTGTAGAATTAAACTTACCAAAGGACTACAGGTTATACTGTGGCAGGGTCAGGGAACACCACTCCCCTATACCACGTAAATAGAAACTACTTTCATGGGATGTGGTTTCAGATGCTTACTGTATTTGTGTCCTTGTGAAAAATCAAACGCAATTATTTTCCAAAGGTGTCTCATGTACCAAGCGTTCTCAACCTGTTGCCACTGTCATCTCCAGCTTTAAAGAAACCAGCCATCACTCAGAAGCATGAAGACGCCCCTGAATCAGTTGTAGGAGCTGGTGCTGGACCCAGAGTTGGGGCAGCTGATGGCCCTGGGGCCCAGGCTTTATCTCTAGATGAGCCAAGGCTCCAGGACAGAGTGGAGACCCGTGGAAAGGCGGTTGCAGCCCCGGGCATTATGAAACAGGCGGACAAACCGATAGTATTTGAAGAAGACAACAAGGCAGGGATCAAGGCTGACGAGCTGGGGGAGCAGCAAAGACAAATACAAGGTACAGAATTCAAAACATCCATATTATAAGGATTCACTCAATTAAGGTTTTCTTTTCAGCTTTAATGTTTTCTGTAGTCTTTCATGTTTCAAATCTTAAGTAAACTGAGTTATAGAACAGATCATTTTACCATTCTGTTCATGACTTGTTGAATGTTTCTACAGTTTTCATTGATAAGTCAAAAAAAATCCACACATGCACTTAATATTTAAGTGGTTATAAAAAGACATCAGTTAGCCCTTGAATGAGAAATAGTCGTCATGTTGCGCAGTAGATAAAATATTATCTGTATTGGATTTTGGTCATAGACAGGAGAACTACAGTCTCTTTCTTTTTCTCAGTTCCTGATCATGTCAAGGGTGACGGAGAACACTTGAAGGCGATCCCTCTGCCTCCAAATCCTGCACAGGTGCCCAACCCCATCCAGCCTCATCAGGCCAAAGACCACGCTCAAGCAGAGCCAGTTCACCACCGCCAAAGTGAGCATTCACATCACACTGTGTAGGGTTCTTCCCTATCAATAGAGGTTGTTTTTAGAGGTTTTTTTATTAACCTGCTGATTTGGGATTGATTTATATCCGTCAGCTCTGCCTTTGTGCTTAGCTGCTGCCTCCCTTTGACCATTTGGATTTGTCCCATCACTAACAGGTTACACGCCTACATTTTTATGAAAGTCAGTACTACAAACAGAGTATTTGTTTGAATCAAAGTCGTGTCTGAGTATTACTCGGAGTGGTGTCAGGGAGCAGAGAGAGGGCTGAGTCGCAGAGCAGAGGAGACAAATGACACTCACCTGGCTCCCAGATGATCCTTTCCTGCTGCCTGGCTTCTGCTCTGCTCTGCTGCCTTCTCTCCCCCCTCTCTTCTCTGTCTTTATATGTTCTGTTCTTTCATCCCTCTCACACACACCCCTCACCCTCTGCAGCTCTGCTGCATAAAACACCTACTGTATTCAGTTCACGTCTTCAACTTGTCTTTCATGAAATCTTAAGCGTCTGGTTTCTTTTATATTTATATCCTATTACAGCAAATTAACAGCCGACACACACTAGATGTCTTGTTTAACGCAGGCTCTGGTGTTTACTAGACACTAGCAGCCAAAACACATAGCATGCGTCAATGCATCTCCAGTCCCCACCCAGCCCCGTTCTGATCATCGGTGCAATCTCAAATCTGTGTCAGAGATAGAGATTTAGAAGCAGGTAAACATTAGAATAAAAACACTCAGTTAAGATTGTTTACATCAAATAATCACGGTTTTTAAATAATATTGAAGCTCCTGTAATTTGTCAGGGAGCATATTTTTATAAACCTAAAATATTAGAAATGTTTGAGTTAGTCATTTGGAAGTCTTTTTGTTCAGTTTGAACACTGACGGTTTTTGTAGATGTATTATTCTACAATTCTTCAATTCACTTAGCAGACGCTTTTATCCAAAGCGATATACATCAGAGAGTAAGTACAACACTAATCCATTCATACACCACCACCACCGACGCAGCGGGAGCAATGTGGGGCTAAGTGTCTTTCCCAAGGACACATCGGACATGTTGCTCAGCTGGGGATCTTCCTACTCAGCTGGTGAATAGTTAGAAATAGTGTCAACCTTTCCATCTCCTGTGACACATTCATGTCCACAATGTTAAAGGAAAAGACTCCACATGTTGTTTTTTAACTACTTAGAGTTAAACAACTATTATTTTTAAACATGTAGAACGACTGCAATCCTCCTCCAGCATTTCTAAATTTAAATGGACATTTTAAACATGCCTCTATATTTAAAAATCCTTTCTATATATAATGCTGTTTAACAAGAAAACCACTAACTGTATCCATGACCTTCAGAAAAACATTTTGTTAAATCAACTCCTCTCACAGCATCCAAAAAAACTAAACCTCAATTTGGATTTACAGCAGATCTATTGTGTAATATGATTGGATCATACCGATGATTAAGACCGTATCTCAATCAGCCCACAACGCTGTCATGACCATAAAGAGTCGCTCAGTAGAGGGGACTCTTGTTTTCTCTTTGCTTTAAGTCCATGATGCTGTTACTCTTCAGACACACTTGTCTTCTTACTCAGCCACCTTGTATCCATTCCCTTCATCTCTTAACTTCTCTCATCCTCTACATCCCTTCACTCTTTTCCTTCATACATTCATGAAGCCACATTTCACCCATTCCTCTCATTTCCCTACAACTGCCTTCGCTTCCCTCCCTTCCTGATGAGGCCCTTCTCTGCCTCCTGCAGGCCGGTTCTTTGATGAGAACGAGTCCCCAGTAGATCCGCAACACGGCTCTAAGCTAGCGGACTACAATGGGGATGATGGGAACGTGGGTGAGTATGAGGCCGACAAGCAGGCCGAGCTGGCCTACAATGAGGAAGAGGATGGTGATGGTGGGGAGGAAGACGTTCAAGGTGAGCCAGGCCGTGGGACTGGACTGCCTGTCCAGATGTGTATCCACCATTCCTCCCTTGCTCCCACCCTCCACCCCTGACCTCCTGACTCCCCTCCCTGCATTTGTCCAGACAGTTAGAGTAGCTCACAGCACCCTGAGTTTGGTCCTAGAATCCATCAAATAATCCCTCTGGGTTGAAGCAGGACTGCTCTGCTTGCAGTTCTTTAGTGCAATGCCTGAACTGTGTCGGCCATGTTTTTCATGTATAGACACAGTAACAATCATAGCATAGACTTGACCCATGAACTTATGGTTCTGTGAGAGTAATAGCGTACACATGTAGTGTTGTCTCTCTTGCCTGTGCCTCATTTTAGCTATAACACCTGTCTGTGCCCACCAACCATCTGACCCACATCCAGACCAGTAGACAAATATAGCTCTCTGTGTTTGTGAATGTGTCTGTGTTCTTCAATTATTCAAATGCATGCTTGTGTTCTTTTCACTGTTATAGTTTGCTTCTTCTTTAATATTGTAAAATGAGTTTTTGACTCGACGTTTGGAGCCTAATGTATTTGTTTTTATCCATTTTAAAATCCATTCCAGTCCATTTCAAAATATCATTTCAGTATTGATAGTACAGTTACAGTATGCCTGATTAATTTGTATCATATATATATTTGTTTTACTTATCAGTTGGTATACAGCCTTGTGTTGTGTGTGTGTATATATATATAGTGACTATCAAGGAAGCTCAGATTGTGCAGAGAGATGTAGGAAGTGTTTCACACACTTCCTTTGGTGCACTTAAAAAAAAAAGATGAATGTAAAAACCCTTAAAGCTAAAAGTCAGACATGTATTACTTATACCAAAGTGTATCAAAAACAAAGGGGACAAAGTGATACCTCTGTCTGTATTTGTTTGAAACTCATGTGAGAATACATTTTTTTTCCCCAAGTTTTTCATGTAATTGAATTTAAAAAATGACTTCTTTTGTGACAGTAACTGAACTCCACTCCAGTGTCTATGACGTGATCTCTAATGTTTGCGTTGCTTTCTTTTTTCCAGATGATGAGGATCGGGACATGCAGGGAGACCGGGCTGTGGATTACGGGAAAAGACATCAAGCCATTGACATTCTTTGAATGGAAACTCCTGCAGCTGTTACTCATTGAAAAAATATTCAAAACGTTCTCTAATCTCAAGGTCACTTGATGAAACATTTAGAACATCGATATGTTTAAGAAGTGTATCGGTTGCATCCTCAGTGTCATGGACTATTTTGACAACAGACATTGCAACTAATGACTTCTGAATTACGTAAAATGAAGTAAAACAAAATCATGGGTTGTCTTTAGCTGCTGTTAATTTGCTAATGAGTCATGACAGTAGAGTTGATATCCTGTAGAATGACTGTTGAATTGTGTCATTTGATGACTGCCTCATTCATAAGAGAGTGGTCTGAAATGTCCTTGTTGATTCACATCTCAACTTTAAGGTCAAACCTTTGTTTTTGCTACTCTTCTTTTCAGGTTACTGTTGATTAATGTAGACAAACTCTTTTACTGAGGTGATTGTGAAAGACACTTATTTGGCATCCTGCCTTCTAACATACTTTTGGGACTCTAACACAGGAGATTTTTTTTTTCAAGTTGGGGACGCATTGCGAAGGACAATACTTAGGCCTATTAAATAATTTTTTGTTTTCTTTCTGACAGACACTACAAAGTGCTCCTCTTTCTTGTTTTCCTAATGATGCCATTGCATGCATTTGAACCTTTTTAATAATCAAAACTGAGCAGAATACTGAAGCTTAAGCAATACTTTAAAGCGTTGTTAATGTCCTCAACAGTGTGCAAAGATTAACCAAGCACACGTGAAACTGACTGACTGTACACATGCTTCCCGTTCATGAGGTCTCTTGTACATATTATAGTTGAACTGTTAAAATTTGTACCGAGGAAATATAATTCTTCACCTTTTGGGGGAAATCCATGAGCCTGAAATCAGGTGTGTTTATGCAGCCAGGGAAATTGATTTTCTTATTGAAAGGCACATGAATGTAATTTAATTGTATTAAAGGTGATGCTCCATGTTGTGTCTCAGTTGTGATGGTGCTTTAAAGCAACTAAACATGTAGAAATCATTTGTCATTAATGCTGAGGCTCACCTTTTCTTTTCAGTAATGACTAAATATCTGTTCATATAGAGCAAAAAAAAAAAACTGAATACTCCATCATTTCCTACTTGCCTGTTGTCCTTTTCACTTAATGCTTTGAGAGGGGTCAGAACAAGTGGTTGTGTTTGCAGAATGTGCCTGGTGCTTTCTGAGAGGTAAAGAAAGGGGGTGTGTCTGTGTCCCATACGGGTATCTGCTGTGGAGAGAGCGGAGCAGAGGCGGGAAATGGCGCCTGGTAAAACAACGATGTGTCATTTCGGAGACGGTCCTTGAGTAGCGAGAGAGAGAGAAAGAAACACGAAAAGAAAAAAAAGTCGGGAGCCTGTACTGCAAAAACAAAACTTTACTTCTGCCGTGATGGTGAAACGCTCTTAAAAACAATTTAAAAAAATCATCAGATACTGCGGATCACCGTAAAGTAAGTCGGACGACGTTTAACAAACATTTGTTCGTGCATTTTTGTGTGATTTCACTTTGCTGTGTGTGTGTGTGTAATGTCATAGCTAACGACAGGATACACATTTTCACACCCTGCCTGTGTAAGATATGTTCGCCTTTGAAGCAGGTTTTTCCAAGAAGCCTAGGTAAGGGGGGGGTTAACGCTAAGCTAAGCTATCTGTGCTAAGCTAAGTCAAATAGCTAAGGTTAGTGCAAACACGGCCTGCAGCGGATCTGACTAATTCCTGCTCAACTAGACGAGTCGGCCAATTCTAGCTTCCCCTTTTTTTTTTCTTTTTCCTTTTTTTTACGTATTTAGTGTCTGTTTAATGATAAGAATCAAACATGTTAAAGTGTTAAGATGTCATTAGTCTTTTAAATCAGCATAACATGAGCACAGTTGTGTGTTAGCCAGCTGTTTTGATTAAGGACGTGTGGTTAATAACCTTAAGTGTTAAATAATGTAAAACAATGTGGAGGACAGTCGAGTCAACAACAAGCTGGTCCCGGTCTTTATCTGGCTCACTAACAAGCCTTACTTTGTTAGTTTTGTTGTCACATTATTCAGTCAAAGTTGCGATATGCCGCACTGGCTTTGCTAATAGGTAAGTTAGCCTGTTTTTTTGGAGGGGGGGGCATGTCAGCAGTGAAATGGTAACGCTTGGGTTTAAATACTTAACATTGTTGTTATGTAGTGCATTTAAGGTAACTTTTTTTTAATGCCGTTTCAGATTTTTACACTGTGAGGAAAGAAACTAACGCACATATACTGAAAATGTGTCGCACACTTGCTTCATAACCCCTGACCTCTTGTTAAGTTCGTCTCGGGAAGGCGCTAGCTTCATCGTGCTAGCTTGCAGAGCTCGGCGTTATGTAGTGCAATCATGTTACAAAACGTGGATTTAAACATCAGTTCAAGTGGAATCACAAAGTTGCATGTGTCTGATGGTGCTGCTTTTTTTTTTAATTATCTTGAAATGCTTTCGGTCACGTATCGTTTGTGTTAGCCATCTTTTTTTTAGTAGTAAGTCTGCAGATTGGACGATGTTATCTGAAGGGCCTTTTCTTGTGTTAGCGTCATGCTAGCTCGGTCATACAGTCTCTTGTAGCATGTTCTTATTTCCCGCTCACTTGCTCATACCAAGCTGTCTCTGTGATCCTGAATTATTTAGGTGCTTGGAAGATAACTGTTTATTAGTGTCAGTATTATAACCATGTGGCACTTGTCGAGGTTTGATTTAAAATAATAATAATGATAATGTAAAAGTCTCATAGTTTTTATCTATATTTGAATCTACTGGGGAAACTTCACATGTGTGCATGTATGGTGATGTACAAAACAAGAGCCACGAAGAGAATCAGCAAGATATAAATGTCCAAATAGCAGACAAAATGTAAGAATAATTTCAGAATAACACGAATGGCTGATTTCAGCTTCTGTCATGTTTCCTCATGAAGTTTGAGGAGAGTTTAAAGGCTCTGCAATGTCAGATAGTTGTAGTACAAGTAAAACTTGTACAAATATGTATCAACCCTAACATTGAATACGATCAAACCCTCTGTTGCCACACACACAGTAATATTGAACTGTGACAACCTGTGGGATGTTCATTTTCTATTATGTTTGAAATAACTTTTTGACTTAAAAAAAAATAAAAAGGCATCAAGAGAGAGCCTCTTCTTTACAGATGTGTAAAATAGAAGATCTTCTTTTTATGCACAGAACATTTTGTTCTATGGAAGACTTTGTTTTGGTGGGGAGCAACTTTAAAAAAAAAAAAAGAGCTTTGACATTATATAAAACATTCACAAAATATTGTTAGTTTTTGTAAGATTTGCTTCCTGGTGATAATGATAATAATACATTAGCTGGAAAGAGTTTATTGCCAAAAGTTGTATCTAAAATCTGTATTTTTTTCACCTGTCTTTTAGTCTTCACAGCTAGCGTAAGTCCAATGGAAGAAAAATGTCCAGTTTTACTTTAACTGTACCCGCTCTCTTAACATGCATTGTTATTACTGTACTTCTTCCTCAGAGTCGCAGTCGATCTGATTTCTTAATAGGCATCAAAATAAAGGCATTTCCAGATAAAGCTCAGTGGTCCAACTTGACAGATTGGATTACTATTTTGATAAGAGTTATATTGCAAACTGTATGTAGGTACACAGGACAGATCAGCTATTTCGTCAGATTCTCTGAGCTATCTCGGCTTTGAGGCTCTTCCTACTTTTCCTGCTGCCTTTTACTTCAATGTTGCTGTGTGCTTTGACTCTGTGCGATTGAGCAACAGCAGTATCTTGCTGGTTTGTTTATGGATCAGCCCCTCGGTGATGAACAGTAACTATACTGAACTACGTTTACACCGTGATACAGAACAGTGTGTATTGAGAGGGTGCCATTGTGTGTTTAAGGGTCCTGACAGGTTGTGGCTATGTCCAGACACATTTTCAGTCAGCTGCTGTTATGTAAGCACAGTGGGTTGCCATGCTTGACTCACAATTCGTGTTCACTGTGAACCGTTTTTAAGTTTTCCCTGTGCACACTCCCATACAACACTGACCGATTAAATTCCAAAATTCTAGAGATTAAGAAGTTTGTTTTTAAAGAAAAGTCTTTTCTCATGCCTCCATTTTTTAGTTACTGTATTTTGATAGAAGTGTAACCTTGACTATGAACTCATAAGGACTTAGTAAATATAAGGCAGTCCTTGTGAGTGTGTGTTTAGAAAGATCTGTGCAGTGCTTTTACTTTACAAATGGAAGTAAAGCCAGCTGTGGCTGCTGCGATCCACTGTGATGTAAGTGAAATGGGATCTTGAATGCATCCAGATGTAAAAATGCACCCGTATTAACTCACTACAAATGCACTCAACAAACTTTTCTGTTTCATTATTGAAAAGGTAAAGGCCGTTACAACAACCTGTTTTTTAACATTTAAACTTGAATTTGTTCAAATGTGTTAACTTCACTATACAGTCATTGATATCTCCCCCCTCTCTCTCTCTCTCTCTCTCTCTTTCTGTGTCTGCCATCTTTCTGCACATCTTACTCACGAATACAGCCTTACATGTGACTGCAAAAACAATGAGGCTGAGAATGCGTAAGGCGTCTCAGCAGCCGAACCCCAGTCTGGCCAGCCGCCCATCTCGTACCAAACGGAGGCACTCCGAAGTCGAAGAAGACACTCCTACTAGTGGAGGGAGGGGGTTGTTCTCGACCATCAAAAAGTTCATCAGAGGAAACGCTGTTAAGGTAACTACTTCTGTGGTCACATCAACTGACCGTATTGCTTTTTTTCCACAGTCTGTGGTCGGGGAGCGTTGAATTGTTGTAGCTAAAGCTGTAGTGTATTCCTCCTCCTCCTGTGTGCTTGGTGTAACAGCCCTATCGAAGCTTGTTGGTACTTTTGTGGTTTTTAAAACTGTATGATCACTGTTCTGTTCTCCAGGTCCCGAGTTAAATACAGTGTTTCTTGGTGTAGAGTGTCATGTTTCCCAAGAAATGTCTGCTGGAATGCAGCAGCTTGTCTGAGAACTCGGACTCTGCTCTAATTTTAGCTTCTGGCTCACAGAGCTGGTGTGCAGCAACAGGAGTTTGTAACAAGTGGAAAAGTCAACTGAGCTAAAGTAGCCCATCCTCTGGGGTTTTAGAAAATGTATTTTTTTTTTAATGTTATTTCTTGGACCATTCTGCATTTCCTTATTAAGCCCAAACTTAAAGATGGAAGTGCACTGTTCAAGAGTTAAGAAATAGAAACGCATAAGTAGGAAAAAAACTAAGCAGTGTGTAAAAAAAAAAAACAATATATAATGCCAAGTTCACAGCCTTTATTATACATATTTTAAGGTCTCGACACATTTGATATTTAAAGAACCCGAATATTGTAAAGTATCATTATTGATGCAGTGGTGTGTTTTTAAAAAAGGAAGAAGAAAAAAACAGTCGTTTTCCCCCTTCCTCTTTTGCACATAATCTGCACAACTGTACTGAAAGTTTTGTCAGTCTCTGTGTTCTATATTTTTTTTATATATATATAATTTCATTAAGGTGCAGCAGGAGAGCCCAGCCAAGAAGACACGGCTCCACTGTGATGTGGACAACAACCTGATCACCTCTACACCTAACACAAATACCCCCCGGAGGACGATCGGCAGGCGAGGCTCCCTCAATGGACGTGAGTGGAACAGAACAAGACTCGTCAACAGCATGTATTTTTCACTCATGCTGTGTTCACTCTTTCAACCTGTTACTTCTCCTCTGCAGAGGCAACCAATCATGATAGGAGTAAGGAGAAGCCAAATGGCAGTCTGGAGGAGACGACGGCCGTTGAGGTGGTCACAAGCCCCCCCAGGACCACCCTTCTTGGGACCATCTTCTCCCCTGTCTTTAACTTTTTCTCACCAGCTAAAAATGGTAAGCAGGCCCTGAGGAAGCTGGTAGAATTCTGACTAGCATGTCACACCACTGCAACATATAGAG